ACATACAGATATCTAAATCAGCATACAGGACTGGGATATGAATTTATAGTATTCCCTGGTAACGGCATTTCTGTCCGTGTGTCTCGATAAGTGTCACTGACAGTGCATGGTCAAAACCACAAATGTCAACATGATCACACATAAGAGGTTCACATTCTCACCTGGGGATTCGCTGGAACTTATTGAAGGTAACACTCCTTTAAGTTTATAGCTTATCGGAAAACAATTATGCTTAATAATAGCATTTTCTCTCAAATCCTATAGAATCCTTATCATTCAGTTTTATCAGAAAATTTTCAAAGTATTATGAAATGACGTTGAGAACAAATATATATATATATATACACATGAATATAATAAATATACACATATACGAGTATATATATAAATATATATATATATATATATATATATATATATATATATATATATATATATATATATTATATATATATGCACAAACACAAACACGTAGTTTACATTTTCATCATTCGTGACTATATCACTCCAATGTTCAAAATAAACTATTTGTTTACTAAATCAAAATTCACGAACTTATTGTTGGCAGTCTTCTCTGTTTACACATGTTTGTGTATACATAAAACTATTGACACAAATGCATACTGTTTGCATTCATGTGAATATGCGCCTATGAGAACTGGGTTAAAAAAAGGTTCACTGCCTCACCTGTGGCCGTAGTGGCAGCGCCCACTGGTGGTTCTTCGGGTGGAGCTGGGAAGGAAACATCCACTTTCGACAGATATGAAAATAATAAAAACAAGAGCTGCCCAAGATGAACAATTACTTGAAAATTATATTCTACGATAATTTTGGATTTTTTGCTATGAGAATAAAACTTATACTCTAACATACATAATAACAATGTATATAAAGGCACATCTACACTAGCATACATATAGCTATATATATTGTATATATATTTTTTCTTTCTTTTCTCTCCCTTCTGTCACAGCTGAGGGGAAGATCAATATTTCCTGATAAACAAATATGACAACTATTATCTCTAAACCTACTACTCTAGGAAGTAGGATCATGTTACAGAAATTGCACAATCAACAATTTAAATAACAATTATACATTAACTTATAAAGACAAATATAAAGCAATCAACTTTGCATTTTGTCAATTTTCCGTCACTTACGAGCCATTTCCGGACACATTATAATCTTCCTGGCATTCAAATTCTCGTCCACTTCGGAGACGCACCATCTGTGGCTCTGGGTCAACTTAAACTTCGCTCCTCCCTCTCCCACCAACTCAAATGTCTCCACCTTCCCTTCCTCGCCAAGGCATCCGCTCACGATTTCCTCTCCGTAGCGGAAGGGAACGCACCCACTACTTTCTGAAGGTGGCTCTTCCGTTTCAGCTGAGGCTGGGAAAAGGATTTCATTTTATATTACATAGCGAAAAAAATAAATGTGTATTTGTATTCAATATATTCCTTTTTACATCAAAATGACATGGGAATCATCTTCAAATTCAGAGATGTCGCGGCCGAAAGATCTACAGACTACTGTAAAGTATACACGGGTTTACGTAATGCTTTCCTACCTTCATACTCATATGTACTAGTGGTCTCTAGCGGTGATTCTGTTACATCTGAAAGGGTAAAACGCATTCTAATAAAAAAGGACAAACATATCTGAAACTGGCATTTTTCATACCTTTAAATCAAACAGAAAAATATCGAGAAGGTCGGATATGATCATGAACACAAGCGGTATCATCAAAGTTTTGAAAAAAAAAAAAAATAAATAAATAAATAAATATATAAATAAAATAAAATAAAGAGCACTGTATGTTTCTTAATTCAAAATGCTATTAGAAAGGCACATACACTTCTCTTATTTAACGATTATAATAAACCCACAATTATAGATATTTTTCCTTTTCCCCTTTTTTCCCTCTACATCCTGCACAACTAAGGGAGAAAAGACAAACATTTGTTGATATCACATAAAAACATACACTCATTTATAAAATTACGTAATGCACAACACCTACCGATTCATAAATAATGGTCATGATGAAATGAATGAATGTAATGCATATGTATGTTTATATCTTATATCAAATATATTATAACACACAATTACATATACATATAAACATATACATACTATATGAAAGAATAATGATATTTCCCTTACGAGGCATGGTCGGGCAGGCTATAACTGACACTGCTTCAGATTCTCGGTCTACCGCTGAGGGCGCACCATCTGCGCTCACTGTCTCCGGCCTGTTTTCACTCTCCTTCTGCCTCCATTTCGATTGTCTTCCTCCACCCTTCTTCGCCAACACATCCGCTCACGTTTCTCCATTTCGTGTCGGAAAGGAACACTTTACTGCGCGTTTCATGGTGGCTGTTCACTTTGAGCTGAGGGAAATGTGTGAACTCAATTCTCTCAACTCTGTTATTAGGATTTTACAAATTTGACGCGACAGAATTTCGATTTATACTAAGACACTCCTATAATTCATATGAATTGATGTGCTTTCAATACAAGAGATGTACTTTATCGGTGTCAAATATATCTTCATAAGAAATACATGCATTTCTAACCAAGATATATTCGAAACTGGTCAAGTTGCTACTTGTAATGTGGATGATATTCATTCCATATCATACCTTTTCTACTCCTTTAATTTTATAGCTTAGAGGGCGAGTATGTCTAATACTGGCAATCTGACTCAAATCCTATAGAATCCTTATTATGAAGTTATATCAGAATATGTTCAAAGTATTATGAGAAATGCCATTAATATGTGATATACATATATTAATATATATATATATTATATTATATATCTAATATATATATATATATATATATATATATATATCTGTTGTACAAATATATAACATAATAGAGAGAGATTAAGGAATTTCAACTTCCATTATAGGGTTTATATAACTACCAAAACATACACATACGTCTATATATATAAATTCTCAACCGCATGCGTATCGCATCTATATATAATGTTGCGCAAATGTCAGAAAAAATGAGTAGTAATGAGTTAATCCCCTTACGATTAACACGGTTGGGCGAGCGGAATAATAGATCGTATATTCTGGTAACTTGTCTACTTCTGAGGCGCACCATCTGGGTGAATCTTTCGCGAGTCCAGCCATCCCCAAATTAGCCCAGGAAACCACAGACAAGCAGGGGTATATATGTCACTCCTTGCAACAAGATGCACCGCGTTGCAACAATCCTCGGTAGACACAAGAGATGAAGGCAATAAGACACCGTCACCTGCCTAATTGCATACGCCCGGGTTGCAATATTAGGGGGAGCGTGGCCGGATGGCGAGTTTCGGCTTGCCTCGCTCTCACACGCGTTCGGGGAGAGGAAATGGAGAGATTCTTTGCCTTATTTTAATTCCCGATTCGCTTAAGTCTACGGCTGAGCATGAAAGGAAAATGGCGATCACGCCTAGGCATCGCTTGATAATGTTATATTTGGGATAGCATGTCGTATGTATATTCCATTATTTCTATCAATGGGAATCTTTGTTACATTGTTCAATCGGACATTAGCTGAGCTTGCAAGAAGAACTGCGCCAGTCGAGTTTCATTCTTGCTCACTTCATGCCTTCCCATTGGCTGCCGTGTCGCCTCGCCCCGCCCCCTTTCCTGCAACTTCCCGCTTCTGCCTCGCTATTGGCTGAGGCGTCGTGCAGAGCCTGGCCGGAGTCGAGATATCACAGATAGTGGAAAAAAA